TAAAACGTTGTTTCTTTAGTTTTTGCTCACAGTGAAAGGTACAAAATTGATTGAGCCGCTTGGCTTTTCTGGATTTGCAACTAAAAATACATTAAAAGTACGTACGTACATATGTATCTATTTGCAATTATTTTTTCACTCAATTCAAGGCCACAATGCCATACATTCGGAAAGTGAGCAACAGAGTGATAAAAAAGAAAGAGAAGTAAGGAGAAAATGCGAGCCTTTGTAAAGTAGCAACAATTTTTAATAGCTGCATTAGCAAAATTGCCACATATAGTCAAGGATCTATTTAATTATGGTTTCGTGTGGCTGCGCTTCACATTCACAATAGAACTTTCAACTTTGACGTTTATTTCTACCTATATATCCCCATACATACATATGTATGTAAGTATATGTGTATGAATATATATTCAACACTAATATAGTGTTGCATTAACATGCCATCGATTTAATGTTAAAAATAAGAAAATAATTACGTATGTATGTACATATGTATATACAAGAATATTACGTAGAAACGAAAATGCTAAGAATGAAAATTTTAAATAGTTCTTTTTTCTTGTATTTATGTACAGATGTAAGTGCACTTCTTATACACTGACGCAGCTGTTTGCGTGACGCTGCCACTTTTATAGCGAAATCAATTTTGCGGAAATGAAGAAGTGTTTTATATAATATAATGTAAAAGGCGCATACAAAAAGCGCTTGCAAAATAATAAAAATAAAATTATTATAAATACACAAATTGGGAAAGTGGAATGATTTTTAAATTTAAAAATATATTAAGATATTAAATTCTAAAAATTCATGCACACGGCATGGCATACCGATAGGACCAGTTTGGCCTGATTTAACCGTTTGTCAAGAGTTCACGAAAACTACACAACAGTTATAGGCGAAATTTTACACAGATGTTCATGATACAATTCACGAGGAAGTCTTTTTTTTTGTTTTCGTTCGTCCGAATTCTAGTTTTATTGGGGGTACACATTACTTCGGTCCGAGGGATCGATTAGCTATTTCATTATTCATTAGAAAGCATCAGCAATTGTTTTTAATATTTTTTTTTATTTTTATTTTTTTTTTTTTTGCCTTTTGAAAATGTTCGGATTCGTCCTAAGCAAACAAGCCAATTTTGCACCATGAAAACGCTTGGCCTCACGTGGCTGTAACGATCAAAAAATAACTGGAAACGCTAAAATAGTAAATCTTACCAATAATAAGGGAATACGGGTTCAATGATTCGATATGAATCATGAAGACTAATTTTTTATTAATTACATTCGAAAATAACCAGAAAAACGGGGCAATACGTTGAATGATGCATTTTTTAGTTTTTTTTTTTTTAATAAAAAAAAAAAAACAATTTTTTCTTTTCGTTGTTGTTGTAGCGCTTCCTTAAACTCGTTTATGTCATTGAGGCCATCTAACGGGAGATCAAGGATACGAACTGTTTCGACGGGTTCGGACGAAAGGGAAATAGGGGTTAATTGACTTTATTTTAGTGAGCATGCAAAGAGGTAGTTGGAGTCGTTCAGCGACTAGGCGATTTATGTCGGAGTCAAGTGTGGATAGGTAGCTGTTTACTCTAGTACAATATCCAGATCTAAGTTACACCAGTATTCCCGAGGACTCTCGAGTCAGCTCGGCCGCTTCATCTACAATAGTTGGTTATTTGACTCCGAGAACATCATTCACTGAAATAGAGTTCAAGAAGGTGTTGGCGAACTTTCACTGGGACTTAAATGCCTGTCAGTAAGCCGTCCAGTCCAGTGGTTTTTTTTTTGTTGTAGCGGTTTCAGGTTATGCTGAATGCAGTTCGCAGATAAAGTCATGTACTCTCTTTCTAATATGCCTTAGCTGGGGTTCGACTTCTGGTAAGTGTTTGTTAGGGTGCTCCCTAAGATCGCAACCTATTAGAAATTTCTTGCACAGCATAACATTAACTCGTAGCGTAGTTTTTTCGCTGTGGAAGTGATGCACTGGCGACATCAGTATGTTTCCTGTCACGTTTCTGGGGTCGGTGTTTTAGCAGGTTGGTAGCTTCTCATCTCGGCCAAGGGCTGTCACCCTTAGATCAACAGGTAAAACGACCTCCCATGAGTTTTTTTTTATCAACGTCTACACACCGCAGATGACGCCGAAATTGCGGTGTTATGAATATTTTCCGAAATACTTTGCATGTATAACTTTCAAGACAGTTGAAATCATAGTATTTTACGGAATAAACCCATATATAACGTATTTATAAGCTCTGCTTGCAAAATTTTATAATTCCATAAGATAAATATAAAATGAACTATCGAATTTTATGTTATTAATTTCTAAAAGAGTTTTTCAAATTTATTAAAATAAAATATAAAATTATGCTTACAAAATCGTTAAGGTATATTTTTCACTATTAGTATGTAACTAATTTATAATTTCGACGATTAAATAATATGTAATTATTGATATGGACTATAAAATTGAACAAACGGTAAAACTCATTTGCCGAAATGGATGCATAAGGAAAAGTGGAATTATGGTTGAAAATTTGTAATTACAGGTTTGCATTCAATTTACAAGAGGTATACTTATGTAAAATTTAAGTGCATACATACATAAATCAAACAGAGCATGACTAACACAAATTTATTGTATAACGAAAAACAACTTACAAAAACATTAATAAAAAACATGGAAAGTATTAAATATAGAAATTGAATTGGTAACATTATGAACAAAAATATAGTATACACATACAATAATTATATATGTGAAAATTATTAATTGCACTGTTCGGCAACAAATGAAGTTGAAGTGGAGGGAATAAAAGAAATAGTTTATTGTGCAGTTTTTACATAGACTTGGTAAACTCTAGATAATTTACCGCATTATTATAACAACATGATGTAAAACCTTTTTATTACTACATATGTATGTATGTAGTTAATTAAAACTAAATTTTTAATTTTCTATGTTTCCAAAACAACTTATTGAGACATAGATAAGCAATAAATAATTAATGAAATGGAAAATTAAATCAAGTATTGATCAGCTGAGTGTGAGATGAGCAATCAAATAGCCATATACATATGTATGTACGAGGGGCGGCTGATAATGTCGCGACCAAAGGTAGTTAGAGATGACACATCATCTCGTTACTGACAACACTAATTGCGGAACTCAGTATTAGTGTGAATAACACTATTTTTTTTATTATTATCCCTATATTAGCGGTAACTGGAAATTCTCGTAATTTGAAACACCTCGCTATAAGAAAAAAAATTACGCCAAAAGAAATTTTTAAAGAGATTTCATCGCTTCTTCAAAGCCCTCGGCTGTTTCAGCAAGAGAGACCTGTGAAGATAACCCCCGTCCAGTGATGAAAGTATTATTCGTCAGTATGATTTCTACTTTTCTACTTTCATCAACTGTTACAATGCGTTTGCATCAATTTCATACAAATCATCTCGGCACAACTCCAAAAAATATTTACAACTCTCCAAATAGCATTCGATGCAGTGGAAAAAAAAAGAAATAGGCCACCAGCAAAAATATACAAATTGGAGAAGCCAGCGTTGAAGATTATGGCTACCATTTTCTGGGATAGCGATTTGATGAGTCAGGCGCATAAGGCAGTCATACAGAAAAGAACTTAACGGGTTGCGAGGGATGCCTTAAAAGCTACTGGGTTTATAGAAATATACCATCCCCTCAACTGTCCGGACCAGATTCTCAGTAACTTTATCCTTTTTTCGAATTACGGGAACGAAGATGAAAGCGACCGTAAAAAACCATTTTGAAGAGAAATCTAAAGAATATCTTTTGCAATTATTTAAAGGCATAGTATTCACGATTATATTGAAAAATAAAAAACATAAAACTACACATTTTTTTGATTAAGTACTTTAGGCCGCGCACTTATGCACTTATCAGCCACCCCTCGTACATCCATAGCTATGAGGTATTTATCATTAACACACCTATTACTAATCTTCACTGAGACAACTCAAGCTTGAATGAGCATTAAAATACAAATGAAAGTAATATGATAGGGAATATTCTACATAAGTGGTCAGAAATAGTTGGTAGACAATAATAGCTCAGGTAAGAGACATTATTTTAACTTCTGCAAATATTAAGTTTAACTGGGAATCGCATCTACACACACATACCCGAACTGTAATTTCTTTTTGGTTGCGTTTATTTTTTAAATTTCAATTTCATATTAAGATTTCTTTTAATTCTTACTTTTTTAAAAGCTTCTGCTGCGCTGTGTAGATTTTTTCTTTATTAAGAAGTCTGGATTGGTAGCTTGGCTCTCATTTTTGCGTATTTCTCATATATTTAATCTGTATTTATTTCGTGAATTTTGTTTCCTACCTCTCCAAGGAATGTTAAGAAATATCTATACTCCCCTAATTCTTTAAAATTAATATCTCTGCTAAATTTTTACTGAAATAAAATCTGGAAATGTGATTCTTATAATCCAATAATTTAGTGTGAGTTAAAGATCATAAACGGATTACTTTTTAAGTTATCGCATAATTAATATATTAACATACTTCTAGAATCGATATTACATACAATCTAGAGATTTTCTTGACTCTTATTCCTTTAAAATGTGGCAATATCAAATTCGATTTATTTTTTTAATTTATACAGACTATTTTCTACTTCTTTGACGTACTTATACATATTTATAATTGACGCTTTGTAACCGCTGAAGTGACTTTCGGGCATAACTACCAAAAAAATATAAACCAGTGTTTTTTACAGTAACTTTTATCTTACCATCACTGTCAGTTATCCATTTATTTTAAGCATATAACGTTGACATGCTTTGTAAATAATTTTTACCATAATTACTTTAAGTGATAAAGATTTTATAGCACACATGTACGAGTATATGTATGTATGTAATAAGAAAAAAATGTATACATACTTACACACACATAGGTACTTATGGAAATAAAAGAAATTTTTTCTAATTGCTTTTATTTGCTTACCTGCAATTCAGCTCTATCCACATCCCATTGCGAACGTTCCAATTCGAAACGTGACCATTCGTGTTGTATAAAGTGCAGTATGCCTGGAATCGTGTATTGTGGAGTAGTTTGTTGATTGTTTTGACCACTTGAACCACCCCCTCCACCATTACCGCTATCATCACTACCGTTGCTGCCGGTATTAATACCACCAGCACCGGTCACATTATTAGCATTACCACCGCCAAGGTTACTAACACCAACTACACCGCTCAAACTGTTAGTGCCGACACCACCAACACCGCCAACCCCTCCCACGCCGCTTCCACCACCGCCACCGCCGCCAACAACGCTGCTTCCGCTTGCACCACCCGCACCGACGGGCTTATTATTTATGCCGGTTGTTGCTCCTGAATTAGTGCCCATCGGGATATATTTTTACACTAACGTTTTGTTTTTTGTAAATAAATTTTGTGGTGCGTTTTTTTTAATTTTTATAAATTAGATGTTATACAGAGATATTATCTTGTATTAACACTATAACTTGTTGCAGTAAACAGATTTAGTTCGTTTTATGTTAGCACTTAGCAACGCCTTTCAAGTTGGGTTTTTCAGCTATTTGGAGAAATAATGTTATAATTTATGCTTAACTATCCGATGGCATTATGTATTATTTATTTTTATTGCTTTTTTGTTTCATTTGGTCTATTAATATGTTGTTTAAATCTTTTTACACAGTTTTATCATAGACAAGAAGAAACTCCTCTTCAGATTCAATTTATTAGCTTTTTACGACTGGTATTCCTATTAAAAGAGACACTATTTTATAAAAAAAAATTATAATTTTCCAAATCAATTTTTTTTATTCAAAATAGTTTTGCACAATTTCTAGTATTATTTTTCAATTGAAGCCAATTCAACTTTTGGATCATCGAATCGTACCCTCGTGCTTAAATTCCACACATCTCCTTTACTGCTCACGTTCGGGTAAGGTTTCCCAGACGAAAGTAACAAAAAAAATGAAATAAAAAAACGCGTTACAAGACGATTTATGGTGCAGCGTACGTTGCACACGCACCGCCGGCCAACTCAGCAATGCAAGGCTAGTTATTTCGATATGTATGTAAATATATATGTGAATTGAATTACTATTTCAATATTCATCCCAAAGAAATAGAGTTGAGCCAATGACTATTCATAATCAAAGCAGCTAATTAATCGCCAATCAAAAGTTTCCCGTTATTTAAACTTTAATATTATACAAATTATTAGTCACTTATAGACAATTTTAACATTGAATTCAAGTAGTCATCCTCATCCCAATACATTAAGTATCAGACACATCCGTGGGTTGGCCGAGTGTCTGCATAGAAATAAATCAGTTTAACCTGCTTTCACTCCTTTGACTTTCTTGCATTTAGACACGTTCGATGTAAATATCTCCACAATACATAAAATTAAATATTTGTTTCCACTAAACAATAACAATTTAAAACAATTTCGCAATATTTTCCATTCCTCTAGCCGTTGAAAAATTCTTTACGCAAAAATATACTCTCCTAAAAGAAGAGTGTGAAAGTACACGAAAAAGTAAATGAACAATGAAGAGCGAAAACAGCCAGCCGCAAGAAAATTTACGAAGAAAAACGAGAAGCTCTGTCAAATAAGAAAAATGCCAAAATACACGAGGATGCCAGATTTCAGATCAAATGAAACTTGAAATTAACCTATTTTTTTGCTTTTGTAAAACAAATTGATCACATATAATTAACAAAAAAAAAATTATCTAACTTTTCATGGAAGAGAGTGCAATAAAAAAAAAAATATCAACATTTGACTCCATATCAGCACATTTTAAAGTCGTGGCATCATTATTCTAAGCAAGAAAGCTTCAAACTATTTAAGAGTCCCCTCTTTCTAACACCCGTTAATAAACGTATCTTACTTCATACGCAATATACGTATCTTTTTCGCACCCATCCCTATTATTCTATGAATGACAGAATTGTACAGGGGTGTTGCCAACCTCAAACAAAAAAATTATAGACAAAGGAATAGCAGCGCAGCTACGCAACGAGGAAAATACGACAATCTCCGAGCTCGACGCCGTGACCAATCGCGTGTGCACTACACCTATTTCCAGTGACGGTATACATTGTTTTGTTGATTGTTTTAACGATTTAAAGAAATCAATTTTATATCGTTTGCAAAATTTGTCCTTCTTCGGTCATTCATTGATATTTTCTATTCCGTTTTAGCAGGTCAACAAAAGAAGGCAATGAACCCTTCGAAACCACTTAATTGAAACTTCAAGTTATATTTACTTATTTCTTTTCAACCAATCAAATGTATCACGCGAAAAGCAGCCCTCTACTGCAATAAAATACTATTTTTCATACAAACAATCATTGAAAATTACACACTGGGAGTATCAATCATAACGAGCATTTCCAATTCACTTAAACCAACAGTCTGATTAAATCCATTTATTATTATCGAAATTTTTAAATGGCTATTCCCCACTAACAAAAGCACTGAAAATTTTTCATCAATCGCACTGATTTTATAACAATAGTTATTACAAATTTTGTCACTTGGAAATATTTTTGGTAGACCGAAAAAGAATACATATATTCGATTCTATTCTTGCTATTTTCTTTTGTCTTTTTCTCTTTTACCGAAAAAATACTCGTTCTTCAAGTCCTCGCTGTCTAAGCACCTTTTTCACAACTCTAGTAGCTAAATTTATTTTTAAAATAGGTTTTTACGTTTGTTTGAGAAAAAAATGGACCACTTTTTGTTTTTAATTTATTATATTAAACCAAATGATTTATATTGTACATTTTCTTTATTAAATAAGTCAAATTTTATGTGAAAATTACCGAGAGCAGAAAACTGTGCACTTTCTATTCTCACCCGTGTTGTGGAAACTTGTACTCAGAGTTGCCAACAGTTTAGTTTAAAAACAATTATAAAACTAAATCGGAATTAGCGAAGTCAATGAAAGTTGATGCAAAGTGCAAGATAATGCATTGTGAAAGAATAACAATCGCATGAATAGTAATATGATATAATATTAAAATATTTGGAATTTGCTAACAAATACTAGTTTTATGCTTAAAATTCGCCTTTGCACCGACGAGGAAACTCTTGCTATTACAATATGCATGAAAGAGATGCGTATATGTACCGGGCAGGGGAGAAAAGAATGAAAGAAAAAATGGCGTATGAACCACAGCAGCGCTGTTTACGTATTTAAATCAAATCTCTTAAACTTGACTTAGAAAAGCATTTGTTTATTTACCACGCCTTAAATATACCAAAAGCGACAAGCTATTTTATTTAAAAACTAAAGAAAATAGTTTCGAATTCGATTTTATTTATATTACCGAGTTTACAAATATTTAACCATTCGAGTAGTACATTTTGCATTCATTCATTTTCAAATGCTTAGGGTGAGAACATATACATTAGTTTTAAAAATCATTTAATGAATCTTAAGTTGTTATTTTCTCTATCATAAATTACATATAAATGCTACTAAATGACTCTCATAGAAAAAATACTATATATATTATGAGTTTTGTTCTATGCATACACCCACGTTGTCGCGTGCATAAGTGGAAATATTATAGTAGCGTGCAGTTGCCGTCGCAGCACATTTACAGGAACTCTTCACACCAATCATTCAAGCAGTTGTAACAATCTGATGCCTGTTTTGAGCTCGCATTGCATACATCCTTCATCCAGTCTTTGAATAATTCTTCGTCTTTTTTCAGTATTAAATACTGACCCAGCACGGTGTACGCCTGAAATACGTTAACACAATAAACATTAACATATTTGTTATTTAGAAAATTCGTTCCTCTAGCAACACCACGTACCTTATCAAAGCCAGCTTCCGTCAATCGACCGCCTAGCGTCTCACCAATGCCAGCTAATTCAGTCACATCTTTGTCACCCATAGGTTCAGCTACGAAATTCCTATATTTCTGCGAAGTTCCTGCCATTTTGGTATAATCTAGTTCTGTTTATCCTTTGGTCTTAATATATATTTTCGGCGATGACGAAATTATACCGCGAAAAATCGAGAGAAACAATAAAAAAGCACGCAGATTGTATTAAACGAATAAAGAAATGACGCACAACAAAAATACTTTGAACCAGTGTTGCCTTGCAATTGGAAATAAATATATACAGGGTTGCTAGTGCATTTGCGGTAGGAAGCGCTCAAAAAGTGATTCTAATGAAGTATGGGTTGCCAAAAATTAGTAAACTAAAATTTCGAAAAAATCGTATTGACTGTTAATTAATTCTTGGATTTTTATGCACCTTGTTAGAAATAGCAGGCTTAGTGAGGTAGTTAGGTGTGGGAGCATTAATATCGAAGGCTCACTGTGAGACAACGATGTTGACACCATAACTAAAGTCCACTTCTGTCCAGTTTTGATGTTTTTCAACCAATTCAGAAAGTTTGCAGAAAGGCAGTACGCAATCCTAACCATTCGTTATGTATTTACTTTGAGTAATTCACGACGGTGGCTTTAGCCGACTAAAAAGTCCATTAGTCGTAAGGTAGAAGCTGAAAATAAACTACAGGTTCATCCATTGGCCTGAAAACGTCAATATGCACACGACGAAAATCAGTTCAACGGTTATAAAGCATCATAGAAGAAGTGCGCTTTCGGATTTTGCAGCCTGCATCCACCCAAGAAAGGGCAGTCGCAAGAAAGTTGAAAGCTCCTTCTTCTTCCTCCACTCTCACTACAGTCTGTTCTATGCACCGAAGTTGACTCGGATTTTATCCAGCCAAGAGCTGCCATTCTTTAGGCGATCCAACCCCGTTTCCTCCCTTTGCGCGTGCCATCTCAGAGCACAGTGACACTTTCCAAGCCCTTTAACGTTAAGCTTGTCTAGATTTACTGCAGGTCGCAGTGTGATTCCATTTGTGGTAATCATAAAGATGAGCAGTTTGGGGCGGGTTTACGGGTTTACGGGAAGAAATGAATGTGTTTTTTCTCCTGTTCAATCTTTGTAATCCACCAGGCTGTATATGTATGCATATGCCAGAATTGGTCAATCGAAAAGGTGTCATATTCCACCAGGACAATGCTAGACCGCACACATCTTTGGTCACTCTATTTAACCCTGATCTGCACCATCAGACCACCATTTGTTTCGGTCTTTGAAGAACTCATTAAATGGTAAAACTTTCGATAATCATGAGACTATGATGTTTTAGGAAAGATGGTAAAAAGTCGTCCAACAAATGGAAATTACTCGAGAGCGCCCTCGAGTGCGAACTTATGGTATTCTTTTGCGGAATATCATCGTCCATTCAAGAACAGAAATGAATTTGTCTGGTGCTATGTTTATATTCTCATCTTATACCTTGTCATTTAAATAACTTTGTAATTGCCAATGTAGACAGGACCATTAAACGTTCGCCAAACTTCTCTCTCAAAAACTTCCGAGGTCGACTCTTAGAATATCGATAGCGTACACGCTTCAGCACCATATAGAAGGATGGAAACGGTGAGGGGCTTGTCGAGTTTGGTTTTATTGGCCGTGGGAAAACTTTACTCTCCAACTTCCTACTCAGTCCAAAGTAGCGCTTGTTGGCAAGAGTAATTCTACGTTGGGTTTCAAGGCTGACGTTATTATTGATGTTGGTGATGGTCTCTGCTTAGAGGACATTATCTACGACCTCGTTGTTATGACTGTTAAAAGTGAGAGAAGACAAAACAAAAGACGCGGATGTAAAGGCTTACAATATCATCGGTATGAGCCAGCAGTGTTGTACTCTTGTTAAAGATAGTACCTTATTAATTCAGTTCTGTACATTTTATTATTTTCTCCAGTAGCAAATTAAAGAAATCATACGATAAAAAGTCACTTCGTTTGGTACCGGCTCGCTTGGTGAGGCACTTCCCAATTCTGGTGTTGTCCAGCGACAGTATAAGTCTTGTAAGAATATCAAATTCAGACATAGCGGCGTAGGAGCGGCTCCTTACTGTGGTGTGTATCGAATCTTATATCACAGGTCTTTTTGAAGACTTGGGGAATATCTGGTGAATAGATACGCGATAATCGTTATTCGAATCTCCTTATAATCGGATAATAAAACATCTTTTCCAACATCACCGATTATGGTTTCGAATTCACCATCTCTGCGTATCGTACTTTCACTGCCATTCAGCAGCATGGATAAGTGCTCCATCCATAAATTCAATATACTCTGGACATCGGTCACCTGATCACATCATTAGTTCTTACATGAGTATACACCGGCCTTGAAACCTTCTGTGAATCGTCGCGTCTTTTCAGAGAATTTTCGAGCATTACTCCTGTCGGCCAGCTTCTCAAGCTCTTTATACTCATGCATCTCATGAGTCTCTTACTTTTCTCGCCTGCAAATGCGTCCTGCTTCTCTCTTTAGCTTTTGATATCTACTTCACCTCGCACGAGTGTTAGTCGATCGCAAACGTTCTCATCGGCTTAACACCTTCTTTTAAAGCAACCTAACCTTACTTTAAAGAATCGTTGCTGGGTAATATAACTTGAATTTGTTATATATTGTATTTCAAATACTATTCATAGGCAAGTGCGATTGCATACATACATATATATTCCATTCCGTAAAATGCATTATCTGAAGCTTCCATTTAAAGCTTTTAGTTTTGGCCACCCACGGTTTCCTATGATAAATGCACTTTCTTGTTGCACCGCGGTTTCTTAACGACTTTAGTGACTTCATTTGGCATTTGATTGATGTTTGGTATCAAGAAGTAGTTAAAATAGTTTATGTTTACATAAATAAAAGTCCAAGTAAAAATATATAAGGGCTCGGTGGAGTCATGACTAAATCAGTTAAAAACCATTTCGATGGTTAAGCGTGTTTTGCCATTTTCAATAAAAGATATGTCCAGATTTATAATTGGTCTCTTTACATGCCTAACAACCTTCGGTGAGTGTAAAGGATTTATAATTTTTCTTTTATTTTTTTTTCAATGAATTATTTTGATAACTTTCAGTGGTTACTTACGCTCAAGTGGAGCTCAAGGATGAGGATTACAACAAGACTTGGATGTATATGCCGAACGGCAATGGAGAGATGGAAGTAGCTTACCTGGTTGAGCCACCCGCCGAGCATGACCGTAGTGAAGTTTCTGAATTCATACAATTTGAATATTATGGCAGGTAAAGACCGTTAAGAAGTAGAAAGACACAGAGCATTTACATAAATAATTTTCACTTCTTAGCACAAATCCGAACAAACCATTGACCACGTCATTTTCATTGCTTGACAATCCGATTACACTACGAAAACGCCAAAAACGCGAGACGTGGGAAGAGCTCGCCGATAGATTTAAAGCTGATTTGAATACGAAAATTCTGGTACACGGTTGGAAATCAAGCTCACGCAGCAACTCCATACAAGCTATACGTAATGCATACACCGAGCGTGGTAATGTAAATGTATTCGCTATAAATTGGAGCGATCAAGCGGATAATATATACTACCTTGAGCCAGCACGTTACACTGTGCAAGTGGGTAGGGCAGTGGCTAAACTGATTGATTTGTTGGTGGAGGACAAAGGTGCCGAACCGCAGAGTATACATTTGGTAGGACACAGTTTGGGCGCACACATTATGGGTTATGCAGGCTCATATTCACGTTACCGTGTGGGACGTATTACGGGCTTGGATCCGGCACGTCCCGCTTTTGAGGGCAACACAGGTCCAGAGAATCATCTGGATCCAACTGATGCGGAATTCGTTGATGTCATACACACATGTGCGGGTATTTTGGGTTTCAAACAACCAATCGGTGCTGTGGACTTTTATCCGAATGGCGGTGGCGCTTTCCAACCGGGCTGCAATCAGCCAATGCAGATATTGAGTGAGTGAATTTGATTTCGATTTGGGATTTTTTTTTTTAATACTCGGGGCATTAAGTGACCGATTGTGAGTAAACGATGCGATCAGATGACAGAGATCTTTAGTTGTTTGAGGACTAGATACCAAGGGGTTGTTATTGTTGACAAATATAAAGGGGTTTCCAATATGATGTGTTATTTTGATGTTCAAAGAAACCTTTCCCTTAAAAGATCGTTGGTTTCGTGGCTTGTGTGCCAAATCAGTACACTCCAAATCCGTTCAACCCTATTTTCGAAAAAGTTATGCCCAATGACAACGCCGGACCATGGACCAACTGCACCAAACAGTTACATGTTGTGGATGGAGGGGCTTTTCAATAATAAATCGTGGGTTTTTCGAGCCCCAGATATGATAATTTGCTTATTGACGTACACATCGAGGTGGAAGTGGATCTCAGCAGTCAAGATGATTTTTCGATGAAATTTATATAGTGAATTTAAATAATTTCAATCATGGTTGAAGTTTTTATTACCGGCGTAGTTTTTACTTGTCAAATGTCCAAAAATTAAATCTTCAAAAGCGACACCTACCGGAATAGCAGGCTATTCAAACGAACACTTCTTATTGGAAAACCCTTTATTATATAATAAAAAAATAGTGTTTTTCCTTCCATGTATTCATCAGCTGGCTGCAGCCATGGTCGTTCATGTGAATATTTTGCCGAGTCCATCAATAGCGAAAGAGGCTTCTTAGCGACCGCCTGTAATTCCATAGTCGATGCGAATGCGATGAATTGTACGGGTGAACGCATGCTGATGGGAGATCCGGTATTGAAGAATGCACGTGGAATTTATTCTCTGAAAACGGCTGATAAACCAAATTTTGCGCTTGGGATGGAGGGTTGAAGTTTAAAAAAAAATTAAATTTAAGCAAATCTTAAGCAGCAACAAAAGATTAATATTTCTATATTGAAACTATTTTTAATCTCTTGAAAAGATTATATAAAGAATAAAAGCAATCACTACAAAAGTGAAAAAATAGATTTTTGTTAATTATATAAATATTTTTAATATTTTCATTAAATAAATATATGTTGTTTAGTGATTTTTCAACTCAGCTTAGGACCAAGCGAGACTAGTCATCCACGTCATCTAGTATGTTTGGGAAACGAGTTAATTCGACGAGTTCGCACCAGAGGGAAAGGGAAGTTGGATGTGTAGGTTTTTAAGGGGAATGATGTTGTTGTTAGTTTTCTAGGAATATTGCGGAAGTGGCAGTCCTTGGCCGGGTCGCTCCGTTATAAAGCCCCGACTGTCGAGAAAACTATTGAATTTTAGACGCCTCTTACGACAGGCATGCCTTACCACGGGCAAATTCTTGAGCCCCTAACCTGGATGCAAAGTGGTGGTTAGTGTCGTGCGGAGTTTCTTTCCATGCAGGAAATTGGGAATGTCGTAGGAATTAAGTCGACAGCAATGTCTAAATCTTAATTGTGTCTGTATTACCCGGGTTTCTTGTGGCAGCTCGAGCCCTTGTCTGCGTAGTCTGTCTGTGTGCCTAGTTGAAGGTTTAGCCTCAAATTAATGCCTGTTGGTGCATACATTATTTGCCCAGCATTACATTATGCGCCTTAACTCGTAGCATGGCAATTTTACAGTGCAAGTGTTGCGTCGGTGACATTAAGAGGTTTTCTGCCACGATAATGAAAACAGTGTTCTGACGTATTTATAGGTTCCTAATCTGCTTTCTGCAAGTCCCTGGTGTCCAAATCGGAGCAGCGTAATTTACGAGTTGCGAGTTTCTATGTCTTTTTCCCGGGAGCTGTCAACTAACAATTATAGTCTTACGCGTAGTGAAGGAGAATAGGATGTTGAATAAGACTCCGAGTAAATTTAGGTTGTTTATGGTTAAAATTTGTACGTCATCGACTTTCACATCGTGTTTGAGGCGGTACTTCTTGGTCCAGCTGGTAAAATGGTTAGCCAGGGATTTCGCAAGTAGTTGTCATGCAGTGAAAAAGTAGGAACGGTCAGTGAGATAGTAGCTTACTTTCGAACATAAATTTACTATATTTTAGCCAGACGCCAATATCGAGCAGTCATCGACATACGAAATCAATGAAATGCCATGTGGTTGAAAAGGGAGCTTCGATATGTAAAAATTAAACAGAAGCGGGAAGAGAATATGATCCTGTTGAGCTCCTTATTTTATCTTATGGATTTTGGAAGTTTGATCGATTTTTTTTTTACAGGTTCGGTGCTACCAGTAGGGTGCGTGCGTATGGCCAGACTTCTTTATCCATTTTCCAAATATCGGCTGTTATTAAAGTAATCAGACACAGTTTGATAATCTTGGTGAAGTAATCTGCTTTCACTGGTCCCAGATATTTTTACAGCAGAATGCTTTTTCCGTCAGGGTCGATGGATTTGAAGGCTTTTACCATCTCGATTTTTTCTACTAAAGAATGCAGTTTAAAAGTCGGCTAAATTAGCACATCTTGTCAGGTCTGACGAGGCATAGTGTCTGGGTCTGGGCCACACCTTGTAAACTTTTCGCCAAATCTCTTATTGAAATTTCTGATAAAGGGATTACCGCGACCGCCTTGACGTAAGCAGTCGCGCCTGGAAGCCAAACCCGCTGCTTCTGTACGGAAATAAGGAAATCTATCGGCGGTTTATATGTGCCGGGATGAAGCGGGTAGCAGTATACACGATTATTTTACGGAATGTGCGTTCACTTACGATTGCGTCGGTAATTCCGTGAAGCTGGTTCAATTTCCTTTGTTAATGTTAACAAACGCCCGATGATCCATGGAATCAAAGTTGGAAAGTCTGTCGATCGGACAATTATGGGCAAGTGGTCTGATGCTAGGGTCAAAATAGGTCGACTGCCTATGCTATTTATTAGACCCGCGCTAGCAATTGTTATATCAAGCGCGCTGTGGCAAATGCCAACGGTTCTGGTGAAGAAGCGACTTTGTTCATGGAGCAGAATTCTCAATCGCCTATTTGTTTCACCAGCTCCACTCCTCTACTGTCGTTTTACAGACAGTAGTGCCAAAGAACGTGGTGCATGTTAAAATGGCCGCAAACCGAACGAAATTTGGCCGACTACCAACTGGGCAAGAAATAACAAGAACATTTTTTATATTTAATAATTCACGCACGAATTTTTGGGGTTGTATTCCTGCTGTCAATGAGAGAGCTTTTATTTCCTGTCAGAAAAATGTACACTCGGAGGAATTGTCAATTTTTGCCGAGGGCGACCGCAACTAATTTTTTTATTTAAATTTATTTTCTACAATTTTTGAATGTTGGTCGCACCAGGAATAACACTACCTCCGATAACCACTGGGATATGGCAGCCGCCCAAATGGTGATTTCACTAAATTTTATTTTATTTAATAATTTATTTTTAATACTAAAATATATAAAAATTCGCTTATATATTACGTATGTATGTGTTATTACTTATAGAATTTAAGGATAAAATTGACTCCACTTTAGCTTTTGAAAGAGCCCTGCCCTCCTCACGCTATTACGTCGGTCCTACGTCGTATAATATTATGGGCACGATGTGTGCCGTTATTGATGATGTCTTCAGGTCTTGGCTCAATCTCGTAATGCATGTAGCCATCAACATCGTCCAGCTCCTTACAATTAAATTTGGCAAGTAGTGTACCGCGTCCGGCATACGGTGGAATATATTTGAATGTGGATGCAGCTGTGCCACCCACTGGAATTTCAACGATCTGGAAATAGATTTACAGAAGGGTTAATTTAAGCTGATATACATCTCAAACTGTTAGAACTCATTTCTTACCTTGAATCTGAGTGCTTTCTCAATACCGGGTCCTTCAATATAGAACATACCCTTCTTCAGTGGTATGGGTAGGGGATTTGACAAACGTACAATCACATCGACTGGTTGCTGCGACACTATTTTGCCTTGGAATGTAAATTTGATATCCGGTTTGCGTACGCGGAAGTCGTCCTGTGCATAGTACTCATATTCGGTGCCTTTGACCTTAGCTGCGCAGGATATGTTGAAAGAAGCCTAAAATGTACAATATATTTTGTTATTAATTAAAATGCTTAGTGATTGGTCGAATTTTGGGTGTGATAGGGCGTAATGGAGTACAGTAAAGCTTCTGGGGATGCAGTTACAGCTGCGTAGCTACACACAGTTCTTACTCAGGCGTCCATGTCGCGCACGAAACGTGAGCAACCCTTGAGCAAGATGCGGTAACCAACTTCTGTGGAGCTTTGGGCCACGTCTAAAAGAGAGAAAGCTTCTGTGGAGACACTCTGGCATTTTTCTTTTAATTATTCGCTGAAGTTTACTTTCAGCGATGCGGCTGCGAGCGGACGTTGGTATTTAAGCGATCGGCACGCTATATATATGTATGTGAACGAAATTTGGGTTGAGTTTGGGACCTGCCAAGTAGAAATCCTCTCCAATGAAAAATATTACAATGCTTTGGATACTCCCCTGACGGCCACTGCAAACATATTTTAGGGCACGCATCTGGAATATCCGATCCCTTAATTGGGAAGGGGCCGCTGCCCAGCTGTGTAATGTTCTCGTAAGAATAAAGGCTGACGTCGCCGCCTTTCGAGATGTGCGATGAACGATGGACGGAAACGAATAGGCCCTTGTGACATTCACTACAGCGGCCATATAAAGGAGTGCAAGTTTGGTATCGGATTCGTTGTGGGAAGGAGCCTCAGTCGCCAAGTACTCGCATTCATCCCGGTGGATCAACGTCTTGCCACAATCCGCATCAGAGCGAATTTTTTTAACATATCGCTGATCTTCGCGAAGAGAAAGACGGTGTGACCAAGGATGCCGTCAAAATTGTGCTTGGTGACCTTAACGCCAAAACCAGATCGGTTATGTTGTGATAGACGGACGGCATCGACTCAGACCACACTAGCTTGTAGCAGCAAGGATACGCCACTGTCTATGCACCGCCAACAACGTTCGTTAACAAATACAGTATAAATATATATATACAGTGCGACATCAAAAGCTGTAATCACAGACCACACCTGCTCTCTATGAGCACTCATAAAGAACTCGGTTTTCGACATTATCAAAATAAAAGCTGGTACGATGAGGATTGTAGTACTACAGAGGGGAGAAGAAATCCTGCTTATGCTTACCCCCCAACGTTGTGACCGACCGCAATACGAACGTTATAAAAAAGATACCGAGAGTTGCCAACAGGATAAAGGCTTCAAGACTGTATAAACGAGAAAATTGATACGGTGGATGATGTCTCTGCCTTCAAAGGCTTCAGAAAAACTCACAAGGTGCTTCCATCAGTGTGGCTTAAAGGCTGGGAAATCTACCATTGATTTGAAATCCACCTTTCGTGGAAAGACCCATGAGATAAGGATCGATCCAACTCACATTTTTAGAGGAAGAGGAAAACCCCTACTTCGTTGGAAAGCTCAATTTGAGAAGAACCTGGCTACACTTGGTATCTACTCGTATAACTGACGCCGAATAGCTAAGAAAAAGCAGATGGCGCACTGCTTTTTAACTCGGCTATGGTCGCGTAAGCGATGTCTACGACAATGAAGAATAAGAATTTATATAAACCGAGTATTTTGTCCACTTACTTGTGATGTGAGCTTCTTAAAATATTCCTCGAATTGCACTTCCATTCGCACAAACTCTGACATTTCCGGCTTCAGCTCTATCTCGAATGGCATCGACTTAACCTCATCGGCATTCGTGCCCGTGTACAGCACTGCATCGCAATTTAGCTGTCCAGTCGCCACGTGTGTGTTGTCTTTGGATTTGTTTGTGATTTTAACAATAACTGTGAAACTCTCGCCTATTTTAATGTCATCCTTCAGCGACATATCGAACTCCACCTCGTTGAAACTGTCATTTAAGTAGTATCGACTGAAAGCGTGACCCGACTGCTTCAATGCCCTCAACATTATATTTCGTTCTTCATCAGTCTTCTCTTCGTATTTGTATGTGTGCGTTATATCTTCACGTTCCCATTTGAGTACGGCCTTCGTGCTGATTAAATGTCCAATCGCCAATGTGTCTTTACGCAATAACTTAATCGGTTGATATGGACCATTATAGCGCCAGTACACTTTGTCTGCATTCACTTCCGAATAAACGAAGCCACAATCGAATGGTCGCAGGATTTCGCCATTCTTAACTGCAACTATCGATGCCGGCCCTACGCGATACATGCTATCAGAGGGTTCTTGCGGCGTCGCATCCACCGCTTGCCAACCGCCATATGCGCCATACGGTCCAATGCCCAAGTCCGGTCGTTGCATCCAGACCTCATTCCAAACGTGATAATTCCATATAGAGTCGGTCGTTTCCGCATCCAGTTTCTTATTATTCGCGTCAATGAACACGTCCACCGTTAGTGAGCCCTGCGTATCGTGCGCCGCTGAGTAACATGTGACAATACGCGAAGGTATGCCGAGTGTGCGCGCAATGGTTGTTAGAACGCCTGAGAAATTCCAACACTGTCCGTATTTCACTGGTTTCTGTGTCTTATAGAACTGTTGTAGAATTTCTGTTGACCCAACCCATTTAGTGGGCGCTGTACCACCTGAGAAATCTTCACTCCAATTGCCCAGTATGACACCATCATCATCCACCGAATTAACAGCGGCTGAGAGCGCACGTGCAACACGCACGGGATCACCACGATACGCAGCGGGTATACGACCCACAGTCCTGACCAATTTTATAGAACATTCCAATACATTACGTTCGAATTGACCCAACTTCCAAACGGAAGGACGCATGCGGTTGTACGAGCCACGCCAAATAAGTGTTGTGTCATGCATAACATACTCCTTCCGTTGATCATAGTCGGGCAGGTAGACTTGGTCATCCGGACACCATGGATTGAAGAGTATATAAATTGGCACGGGTATGGAAAAGGTCTTTGAGCCATCGCTAAGCAATTTCGTATCAATATCCAATTTCCATTCGGTCACGGGGCAAGTAACGGCCGGCTTAATAAGTATCGTTAGCGCTTTGTCTTCGTGTGTCTCAATACCAGCCGACCACTCAAGTGGATCACCAAGATAGTCAATACCATCACGTGGCACCAGACCAACCAGTGTGCCATGGCCCGGGCTGGGCTTCTGATCATCGGCAACGGTAAATATAAAGCTGATTGCATCTTTTGTGGGATTATATGAACGATTAAAATGTATGCGTAGGCGAAATGGATCACCGCGTCGCACAATTAGCGCTTCTGTGGCGGCATAAAAATGATCTGTCTTATGTTCGTCATTGTTTTCTGCCAGGCAGAGATCGACACTTTGTACGGTGAGTATGGCTTCAGTTTCGGCGGCATCTAAAGTAAACGAAACAAAATTAATACAAGGGTACACATGGGGGGAACTAAAATGGAAATAGATTTTTGTAAGTTCTTAGCCTGGTTTTCTAATTTTTAGTTGCAATTCTAAACCTAAAAAATACTAAATATACTTGGTATGGGTGATAAAATGTACATTGCAGCACAGAGATTGTGAACACGGTAAGCAAATCCATCCGTAAAAAAAAAGCATTAGTCGGCTTGACTTGACTTGATGTCCAGCTGTATGTCACTATATTTCCGAGCTGCCATCAGGTGGCTTTTTCTCTACCACTACTACTTTACGGGAGCGTTGAGGGGGGCAGAGCCACTATTTATCTTGGAGAAATTGTGTCAAGACGTGCCCCGATATGTATTATAATTTTCTTCCAACTCTTAAGAGCGTACTTATCGAATAAAGGAGAAGCATTCATCGTAAAAATTGTATAACAATTATCTAGGACGATCGGAGCCTAAGTGTGCTCCGCCCTATACAAAAAACGGGAGACGCTACTAACTGTACCGATTACAGTGGAATAAGCCTCCTCAATGTCGCAAACTGAGTGAATACTACCAGTGTGGCTTTAGATCTGATTGACTATTGACTAGAGTTTCACGATGCACCGAAACTTGGAAAAGGTTCGTTGATCGGCACTCATAGCCTATTTGTCGTTTTTAGTGCTGTCTAAGACAACACGAAGAGAAGTTGTCTTTACACCGCTATGTTTGATATCAAATGAAGTTTCAGACTAGCTGACACCGAGCTGCAGAGCTGAATGGAGAATATAATATTCCATAAGAATGTACCACTACTAGCGTACAACAATGGTGGCCTGCAAATGCAGCCTAGAATATTTTTTGCCAACAGTTGCTACTTTGGACAGAGTAAGCAATTGAAAAGTTAACTGATCTCTCGACGAGAAAAGACCACTCTCTACAATCCACTTATCATTCTTGTCCTGTTATGTAGTGCGGAGGCTTGGACGATGTCAACATCTGATGAGTCGGCGTAATGGATCTTTGCGCGAATACTGTAGCCGATGGAACGATGATTGGCTACGCTGGTATTTCCAATTGGCATCAAACAGTAAAAAAGAAAGAAGGTATGACGTACTTTTGTTAACTTGGCTATAATCGCGTAGGCGAAGTCTACACCGTAAAGAAGAAGAAGACTGGAACGCACAGAGTCAATGAAGAAAAGGAACACTTCTACATTGACGGTTTGAATTAATATTAGTATAACTATTTTGTGTATGCATACATACATATAAACAATATATTCCTCTAACTCTCAGGGTTTTAATGGGAATTTAGAGAAATATGACCCTACCTTTCTTTGAAAACAAAACTTTTTCCGTTGCTATAAAAATATAATTTTCTGTGCGCATCTGTTGCACCGATTTCTGTAGCGATGCCTTTTAATATTGTACAAAAAAAATCCGTAATTATTTTATATACCGTCTTATTTTATTATCTGAAAATTTTTAGTTCAAGATAGTCACCAGAATAGTTGACCCTCTTATGCAAGATTCCTTCCTGTACGTCGAAAGACTGTAGAGTTACAGAATAGTGTCCTGTGCACAGATTGAAGAAAAAGAAAGTCTATTTCTGGATCTATATCAGCTACTTTTGTAAAGACTTTGCTCACCATTAATAGCAAAAATTCCATAAATTTTAGTCGGATTTCACCCATTTGCAATTGCATTCGTATTTGCGGTCCTAGAATGTGTGAACCAAGTTTCTTCAAAATATTAGGTCAAGTAAGTTCGTTCGGTTTTTATCTAAGAGATGGCGTTATTGTCCGTAGTACTAGTGTTAAGTGTCGCCTCATGTCATACTATACGACGCTGAAAGTTGGTCTTTGACAGTTTTTCGATTGATTGACTCAGTACGTTGGGAGCGCTCGTTAAAGATGGACACCAGCAAAGAGAAAATTCGCTTCATTTTTCTTCGATCAAAGCGAAGAAGCAGCCGAAGTGGCTCAAAAATTAATTTAGTTTATGGGCCTGATATTGTAAACGAACGTGTAGCACAAAAGTGGTTTACTAGGTTCCGTTCCGGTAATTTCGATGTCAAAGATACACCACGCGTCGGGAGGCGTGTCGTCGAAAATTGCGATAAAATCATGGAAATAGTGGAAACAGACCGTCACGTGAGCATTGTTGAGCACTTATTTAATTGCTTCGGAATTAAATATAAGCCAGAAAACCGTTTGGAACCATTTGCATAACATTGGATTCAAAAAGAAGCTCGATGTTGGGTTCCACACGTATTAACGCAAAAAAAGATGATGGATCGAATTTTCATCTGCGAATCGCTGCTGAATCGCAACAAGTTCGACCCGTTTCTGAAGCGGATTGTGACTGGCGATGAAAAATGGCTCACTTACGACAATATCGAACGCAAACGGTCGTGGTCAAAGCTCGGGGTAACGACCCAGACGGTGGCCAAGACCGAATTGATGGCCAGGAAGGTTTTGCTGTGTGTTTGATTTTGAAGGCCGCATTCATCCAGAAAAGGCCTTCTTTGATGAACAGAGACCGAATTGTGTTCTATCAGGACAACGCCAGGCCACACACGTCTTTGGTGACGCGCCAGAAGCTCCAGGAGCTTGGACGGGAGGTCCTATTAAAGGATTACCATTTTTTTTGTTCATGGTGAACGTTTTTCATGGTGAGACGTTGGCCTCAAGAGAGGCCAATGAAAATTGGCTCCCCGAATTTTCTGCCAATAGGGAGGCAGCCTTCTACGAGAGGGGTATAAAGAAGCCGGCAAAAAGTTTATAAACAAAACGGCGCATATTTGATTTAGATCGGGCAAATGTACACACAGTTATAATATTTTGAAAAACCAATACTGGTTGGATTCTAGAACCAGTTTGCATTTTTGCACTAACTAGTTCATCTTCTATGGGAAATCCATGTAAAAGACTGGTAAGTCCTAGGAGTTGTCAATTGTCCAACTATACATCAGCTTTATTCTAGTTATATACCAGTTCATTTAGGCATGTTGGTTTCCTTCTTCACCATTCGGAACACCAGAGTTCGATTCCTAGTTCGACCAAAATCTAAATTATATTAAAATTAATTTTTCTTATTGTGGTCGCCCCTCGTCAGGGAATGTAAAGACCTCTGAGTGTATTTCTGACATGAAGTAAATGTCCCCTCACAAAAATTCGCTGGCCCTTAGCTGAAGAAACATGAGTATAAAGATATCAAAACAATATTTAATTAAATTTTGGTTTTATTATACAATATTTGACTATTTTTCTCTGTACATATGTGTATGTATATTATATATGCGCGTGTGTTATACGAATACCTTCAAGTTTATTTTACACCGAAATGATGATCTCATAAATCAATTACTTAGAGTAGAATGTGTAAACGTAGGCGCCCCAACCTAGAAATGCATGCAAATTGTTTATACCACATATGAACCTGAGTACATACATATGTATATATGTATGCACATACTCATATGCATTGGTGGGCAAACAATTTATTATTCTTTGAAGCAAAGCGTATTAAATATTTGACTTATATTTTTATGACTTATGAAAACTAGTTTGTAAGTACTAAAACTTGTAGAAAAAAATATATTTTAGCCTTTTATGGGCTGTCCGAATAATTTGAACAACAAATACCCGCACGCTTTTTCAACAGTAATATGCATTTTATACAGACAATAAAAGCATGAAAGAGTACAAAGGGAACTTCTTACTTATTTTTTTTTCAACTGTTTCAAGACACTTCATCCTCTTTACATACATATACCAATGTCAAGATGGCCACCAATCCCGATTTTCACAGGAAAAATTTGCTCAGTGATAAATCTAACTGTTGGTTAATGGTCGCATTTGGAGTGATGATGAACCAGAAGCCATTTTTGAGACGCCAGCACATCCTCAAAGAGTCACTGTTTTGTGTATTCTATGGGCAGAGGGAATCATTGGTCCATTGGTCCACAGTCGATGAGTGGGGAACTCTATAGAACCATGATTAACTACTTTTTCGTAATCTTTAGTTCCAACAACAAGGCGCTGCATGCCGTAAAACCAACGAAAGAATCAATTTATTGAAGGAAAGTTGTGATGAGCGCATTATCTCAAGCCTGCGGCGTGGCCTCCAAGATCGTGATATTTAACACCGCTGGACTATTTGTTTGAGGTTATTTGCAGTCGCACGTCTATGCAGTTAAGCCCGAGATGAATGACGTCTTGAAAGAGGATATTTGGCATGTTATTGCTGATATTCGACCCTAATTGCCGCGGCGTTCAATTGCACTCGAAAACTACATTTCTAAAAAACAACCCTTATATACTTATATACGGTGTGTCCCAAAAATAACCGAACTTTTTGGATATAAAATAAAATACACATTATATTATCTTTGAAAGTTATTATTTATTCAAAATAGGTTCCATTTGACTCAACACAACGTTTGGAACGATCGACCGGTGCATGCATAGATTTTTTTATGTCATTTATAGAAATGCTCTTCAGTACCTCGGTTACGGCTGCTTGAATGGCTGGGATATCATTATAATATATGCTCCCGTCATCTTGGTTTTCAGTTTTGGAAATCAAAAATAGTCACATGGTGATAGATCAGTCGAATACGCAGGATGGTCTATGAGAGAAATCCCTTTTTTCATTAAAAATTCGAGCGATTTTTTGGTCGTCATTTAATTCATGTGTAACAAATCGCGCACAGACCTTTCTTTTCCCCAAATCTACAGTTAAAATTCTCATCACAATAAACTTTTTTCATTAATTTTTTTTTTCAAGTTTGACACAAAATTTTATATTTGCTCTTTGTTCCATTTCATTTTTGAACCATTAGCACACTTTTGGTTTTATTGAAATGGCTATCACTTTACATCTGTCATCCGACTTACCTGATGTTAGATGCATTTGAAAGAGGATGAATGTATATTTTTAATGTTGCAAATTTTCAATAGATGGCGCTGTATGTTGTATGATTTACATATAAAGTTC